TAGTAGTAGTAGTAGTAGTAGTAGTAGTAGTAGTAGTAGTAGTAGTAGTAGTATGCCATGAAGTCAATTCTGACTTACAGCAACCCTTTCCAGGAAACCTGCTCCCAAAGAGTTCCCAAAGCTTTCAGGTGGCTCCAGGCCATACAGGGTATTGCAGAGTAGAAAGGGTTTGTTCCCTAGTTTTGCAGGTGAAAGGAGTTCACTGGAGGAAACCTGTTGGATCTGAACCTATGTAATGTCGATACAGGTGCAGTTTCTTTGGGTGCACAGGCTGGGCTGCATTGACCCAAAGTCAAGACTCTTTTCTGGTTGTGAATGAATAGTTACCAGCGCTAGCATCTGTTAGATTCCTGATCTTAAATTACTAGTCTGCAAGCCACAGATATTGCCCAGCATTTTTCTTTCAGATCCCAGCCATTTATGACTATATCATGTTTGTCTTCCAAAGGTTCAAGGGTTGCCTTCAGAGGGCCATTCTTCTGAAGTGCTCTAGAACAGGAGCTAATGTCTTGTCCAATGCCAGCTTGAGAACCTTGGTGGGTTTGCAAGCAGGAATTTGAACCCAAGTCTATAGCATTCCATGATCTAATACACTGTTCACCCTCATACTCAGTTACAAATCAATCTCCTGTAATCCTCCTGTTTTACAGCTAGAATTAGACTGATATCCAACAGGCTTGCATAAAGAACTGCTTCTCCCAGTAGAAGGGAGTTTTCCCTCCCCCGTATACCTCCGAATCTGCTCTGGAGGGCTCAGAAAATCCCCAGGTAGTCCACAGGAGTGGAAGGAGGATGGGGATAGGTAGGAAGAAAGTTCAGTTGTGCTTGTGTTGCATTGCATTGTTGATCATAGATTTTCACATCGCTGGAGCTGTTCTCTAGGGATAACATTATATGTGGAAAGATTTCAGAATTGGCTCCAATTCATTACAAATGTTTCCTAGTCATTTGATATATAATCCACTGCATTTGAAATGACAGTCTATCATTTCAGAATGAAATCTTCCACGTGCAACATATGGACACGTAATTACACAACTAATTCCCTCTAATATAGTTTAGCCAGTGTTCCAGGATTGCCAGACGGCTGGACTGTAAATAAGCAAGCTAACAACCATGTGGAATAAATGCCACCCATTCAGAAATCACCCTTTACAAAGTATTTGTGCCACTTTATCCAACCTGAGGCCCTCCAGATATTTGGAGATTCAGTTCCTATCTAGAACCCAGCCAGCATGGCTAGAAGTCAGAAATTCTGGAGGTGTAGCCCAAAAGATCTGGAGGGCACAAAGCTGTAACAGGATATATTAGTTACTAATGGACGCAGAAGAAGGAACGACTGAATTTTTAGAAATCTCCAAGGTGTGTCTCTTAACCTGTTGCAGCACAACAACAAACTTGCATCATCTTAAAGACTGACATGTTCTGTTGGCCACAGATTGTCGCCTACAACACCAGATGCATGATGAAATGGGCGGTTGTCCAAGGAACCTTACACATTTTCAGACAGGCATTGCTGTCTATCATGTTTGAGAATCGGTGTCTATCTCTGTGTCACAATGCGACTGAATCACTGGTGCGTGGATGTATTTTTAAAACACAGCTGTCTTTCACTAGGGTCCACATGGCCCTCAGGGTCCAATTGGCCCTGTTGGTGAAGAAGGGAAAAGAGGTCCTCGTGGTGACCCTGGAGCGGTTGGCCCTCCTGGACCTGTGGGAGAACGGGTGAGGAGAATAGCAAACATCAAGTCTCAGGAATTTTGTCTTACATCCTCCTGCGTGTGAAATTCTTCATTCAGCTCCATGGTTGAAACTCAGTTTCTGTATCTGTATGACTGTCATCAATTCAGGGCATTAGAAGGGATCCAGCAATGGCTGTATTAGAATGATCAGATTACGTAAGAGCAAAAGATCAGAGATCTAACACAAACTCATAAATAACTGGAAGCCTTCTGTTGGAAAAGCTGTGAAAAGCAAGACGATACCTGACCACAACAAATAGCAACATAAGGTTCAATGTATTTTAGAAACATTACTAGCAGTTATTCAAAGCTTAAGAGACTGATGACCTGTATTATTAAGTGGGAAATTGATAGATCAGTGGTTTAGGTCTCTGTCTTAGATAGAAGTCAGAGATTGGGAGTTTGATTCTTCATGGCGCCTCCTTGACAGGGGCTGGACTCCATGATCTCTGGAGGGTCCCTTCCAGCTCTGCAGTTCTAAGGTTATAAATTTCTTCTAGAACTATCACAATGCAGCTTCACATTTGCCAAATCGGAGTTTTCCACTTGGGTGCAGAACTGTACATCTCTCTGCTATAAACATTGCTCATATATGTAACCTATTTTTTTAAAATACCAAAAAATGAAATGAAATGAAAATTGAAATGTGTGGCTTTGATTCTGTAGGGACCTCCCGGCAATCGTGGCTTTCCAGGTTCTGATGGCTTGCCGGGACCAAAGGTAAGTTGCCGTGATTCATGGGGCCTCATAAAGTTCCTAAAGGCTTGTTATAATAGTATGCATGCATGAAAAAGGGAAACTGAAATGGAAGGCAACGTCAACAGAAAGCAGCACTAAAATGGTGGTATTCTGTGAAATCTGTAGCCTTGTTCCCTTTCTCAGCTAGTCTCCATTTTAAATGATCTCCTGTGGTGTTGGTTCCACAGGTGGCAGGGAAAGTTGTAACTGGAGGTTTTGCAATGTATATGTTAAGAGTTTATAGGGATTTGCTGTGAAAAGCTTGCCTATTTTATTTTGCTTTGGGGTGCTTTCATTTTGCTGATTTATTGGCTGATAGGATTTTCTTTCTTTCTTTAGAAAATGAGGTAATTTGAAACAAAGTATGGGTTGTTTTTACAAAAACCTCTTGCTGGGTGATTCAAAGGTGACTTCAGAAAGAAAACTCCATGGCAAATATGTACCTTAGTTGTGTCCAGTGCATTGTGGATAATATTACTCTGGTTTTTATGTGCAGGGAGCTCAAGGAGAACGTGGTCCTGCCGGGGCTTCAGGTCCCAAAGGGAGTCAAGGGGATCCTGGTCGTACTGGCGAACCTGGCCTCCCAGGTGCCCGGGTAAGGAAGTCATGACTTTCTTATCCAGGTTTAGCATTTCCAAGAGAGGGAGGTGAGTGGGGATATCAAGGGGACAAAGGTCTTCATGGTTTGGGGAGAATACAAAACATTTGGGCTGGTAATATATCCTAGGTGCTTTATTGCCTTGTTTCATCCATGGCTGTCTGTCAAGTGAATGGCTAAAAACCTGTTTGTAGGAAAAAAGGGGGATATCACATGGACCTAGAAGAGTTGTTAAAAATCTCAGGAGCCTGTGGACCTCACGGTTTGTGTTTTGTAGATCAAAATGAATGAAACGGCAGTAGCCATAGGCTAAATATTATGGCAACCTTCCAGAACTATCTACGTGACTGTATGAGCATATGTGATTTGTATATTGCTGCAGCTATCAATAAAGCGGTAAAATTAACATTGCCTTGTGGTAACATATTTTCTACAGGGCCTAACAGGGAATCCGGGTGTTTCAGGTCCGGAGGGAAAATCTGGTCCATTGGTAAGTAAACTTAGAAATTTGTGAAACAATTAAGATGTAAGATCCTTCTGGACTTTTTTGGGGGGGGAAAGATGCTTTGATTTATGCCTTGCTATGGAATAGTAATGCAAATTCCTGTTAAAAGTATAACAAAAGAAGGAATGTAGGAGCCCATCCCATAGGCATTCTCTGTGGTAAGCCACTTTGAGGAAACTATTAAATAGATAGATAAAAGAAACAGAGGACTAAATCACTGCACTAACTAGATTAGGAAGTCACCCTCTGTTGTGATCTGAATTTCAGTCTGCTTTGTTTTGAGTGTAAATATTATGTGCTTTGCTGCTATATTTTATTCTTGTGCATATAACGTATAAATCAAAACTGCGAAAGAACTATACAACTTTGAACTATACAACAGTGAAGAAATTGAAAGAGTGAACGATTTTGTGTGCCTCGGTACAGCCATCCTTCCAGGCTATCCCAAAATACGTTGTATTACAATAGCATAACTGACAAAACTATTTTTTAAAATTTATTTCTTAAAATTATATACCTGCCCATTAGTGCCATGGGTGGTTTATGATGATAAAATACAACAATCAATCAAATTAAAATGAAACACACAGCAAATAGCAATGGACTCTAAGAGGCACAAATTATCAGATGCATACAGCAAGGCATATGAAAAATTGAACATAGTTACTGAGAAAGGCATCTCTGAAAATAAGTTTTTTCATGAACCTTTTAAACATTAGGAAGGAGGGGGCCAGGCGCAGCTCCATGAGGAGTTGATTCCAGAGGCTTGGTTCCACCAAGAAGTCCCCACTTCTGGTCGATGTTTTCCTGGCCTCCCTCAGAGTGGCCGCTTGGGGGGAGCAGTGCCTGGGAAGACCTAGGGGTGCAGGTAGATGACATTGGAACAAGACACTCCCACAATCCAGGCCACCACTGTTGCTGGGAGGATTGCAGGCATCCACAGAGGAAACAGGGAAACCTGAGAGGGAGTGTCAAGGGCATCCCTTTTATAAGCAGAGGCTAAATTGTTTTGTGAGTCTGTAGAATTCTAATCTGGCCTTCTGATCGTTGAGGTTCTCGGGATGTGCCTCCCTCCCAAATTGCATGTTGTTATTGTCCCCTAATCCCGTTTGATCATGAGCTACTGAGGCGTCTGATTTAATTCTTTCAGGTGCATGTATATTGAACCAGTTCTTCCATTTAGATTCAGTAAGTCTGATACTCAGAAGCCTATAAGGATGGAGTGGTATATAAATGTTAGAAATAAATATGCATAAATAAATAGTAACTTTCACCTTCCTCTTTCCATAAAACCCCTGCATGTGTCTGTGCAGTGGTTCAAAATGCTGCCCTATATGTTTTTTTGTTCAGAAAACTTCTTTTTTAAAAAAATGGGAGTAATTCAGTGTTTCATGTTTCCCACAGGGTGCTCCAGGAGAAGATGGCCGACCAGGCCCAGCAGGCTCAATAGGGATTAGGGGTCAACCAGGTAGCATGGGTCTACCTGGACCAAAAGGCAGTAGTGTAAGTATTGTGCTTAAAAATAGTTTACTTTTATTTATTAAACTGGCTATAGAGCGGTTAAGAACAACACATACGAGATAACATAGTAAGTGTTCTTTCCCTTCAAATTAGGGAGATCCTGGCAAACCTGGAGAAGCAGGCAATCCTGGTGTCCCAGGGCAGAGAGTGAGTATTTTAGGGTTTCTAATTGTCTAATGACAACAGTATTTCCTCATCTGTGTGCATCTGCTCAACTTAATCTTCTCTTGTTATCTCATGTTAGGGAGCTCCTGGTAAAGATGGTGAAGTTGGCCCTGCTGGTCCCGTTGGTCCATCTGTAAGTTACCCAGCAAGCAAATATTTTTTCTTGTTCAAAACCCTTCACTAATTGGAGGTCTCTGTTACTTGCCGATACATTTGTATGGGCCTATGCCTGTTTCCCAGATACATTAATTGTAACAAAAGAGATGGTGATGGAAGGAAGAAGAGAAGGGAGGTGCAGTGGTGTGAATTTCCGCGGAAACCTGTGGCGTAGTGGATAGGCATTGGAGGGCCCTTAAAACTGCTGAGTCAGCAGATGGACATCTTGTTCTGTCATGAAAAACAACCTAAGACAAAGTTGTAGGTTAAACTCATAATTTAACTGTTATATTCAACTTGTGACCCAAACTCACAAGGAAATATGCATACGTTCAAAATGAAACTAAGTGAAATGGACACAATTTTGACAAACACATTTTGTAATAGTTACAGGCTAGCAAGTTGATTCTGCCTTTTGCCAAATCTTTTTGAGAATTTCAGGTACCAGAGGCTTAGAATTGAGCCCTTGCTTTGGGCACCTTGCCCAAGAGAGTAATGTTGGCAACTGAGTGACAGTTTACCTGGCCACTCTGCACAAGATCTAAAAGTGGCCATTCTGGGAAAAAGAGAAATTGTGACAGTTTACCTGGCCACTCTGCACAAGGTCTAAAAGTGGCCATTATGGGAAAAAGAGAAATTACAAGACAAGAACCCAAAGAGAGACAGCTGAGATAAAATATAGACACACGTTGGACACCCACTCAATGAACTCAATACAAGTCAAGGCTTCTTAAGACGCTACCAAATATAAAACACTAGAGGATTTGGATTATAGTTGTTTTCTTCTTCTGCGTTCAGGATAGATTTCTTCAGAAGTGGCTTGTTTTAAAAAGGCTGGTGCTGCTACCTTTCTCAAAGACAAGTTTGTAACCTACCGGACCCAGCTGAATGTCCCCTCACATAGCTTTAAAAAACCAAGAAGAGAAAGGATCGAGATACACATGTGACCGGTCACCTTGTCTACACTATCAGGCTGCAATGAGTAAATGAGATGGACTTCTGGAAATTTCCAGAATGGAAATATCTGTCTAAATTCCTGGGGTTTTCTGTTGTCCCTTTATAAGTGGAAATAGTGTACTCACAACTGGTCCGTATGGCTTGAGCTACTTGCCCATGTATCGTAACAGGCATGTGCTTATTTCCCTGATACATTGATTTTATAAAAGAGATGATGCTGAAAGGATGAAGAGAAGGAAGATGCAATGATGTGGATTTAAGATGCATAGGATGGAGTGGAAAAGGATATAAAAATGTGCATGATGACGAAGAACAGAATAAACTTTGTTTTTATTGTTTTGTATTATAGGGTCCAGCAGGAGACAGAGGAGAGCAAGGCCCCCCAGGTCCTACAGGGTTTCAGGTGAGCTTCCTTCCTTCCTTCCTTCCTTCCTTCCTTCCTTCCTTCCTTCCTTCCTTCCTTCCTTCCTTCCAAACCCATCCATCTACCCACCCATCCATCTGGTTATTGGTCACAGGAACCCTACGAATACTTAATCCCAGTCATTGTGAGTGAAATGCAAGGTTTTCATGGCCCTTCTAGATGTTACTAGGATTAAGTCTCTGAAAAAGGGCATGTTCACAGGAGAAAAGGAGCCATTCAGGAATGCTGTTTTTGAATTTCCTCATTTCTTTGCATATTTGCATTCTAGGCATGTAGCATTCCCTGTAGGACTCTCAACAAATCCTGAATGTTACAGTCAGGATATAGGAAAGGACATGGCCTAAGGCCATGTAGGACTTCACCAGAGAAAGCCATTGTCAATCAAATGAGTTTCTAGATTGCTTTTCTCTTCTTTTTCCTGATGTTGATTTTCTACTAGCACCGAAACAGCCTGAACAAACTCGAGTGACCTTAAATTATAGAACAGTTTTTGCTGTTATCGATTCAACCAGACTTTTAGGCCAGTATCCTGCTTGTAGCCCAACTAGGAGTTGCATTGATTCAACTGCTGAATGTTAGGTCAACGCTTACATAAATGCCATCGAGTTACTAGGCCTACTTTAGTTGAGATGAGCAACAGGAAACCAAATTTACTGAATAACCAACTGTACAGTAGTTTTAAAATTTTAAGCTGCTTAAAGTTTATGGCCTTATGGTAACATTTTAGCTTTTACATGTCTGTGCAGCAGAGGTCCATGACAAAAGAGAACAATGTGGTAGAGGGTCAGTTTGCCATAAGCAGGGATGGAGGTGCCTGGCAGCGGCTCTTTTGGGTGACGTGCCCTCCTGTGTGGGTGGCAGACAATACTTTCCCTAGTTTGTAATGAGGCTTATCTCCTACACTACCATTACTCCATATAGGCATCTTTCTGTTATAGTCAACATAAACACCACAGGGACAGTGCTTTCTATATGTTTTCCGAGATATATGCTGACTTTTCTGGGCTTTTTTCTCTTCCTCTGCAGGGCTTACCTGGTACTCCAGGACCTCCAGGGGAAGGAGGGAAGCCAGGTGACCAGGTAATGGCTTTATATAATGTGACATCCACCAGCGTTGCTTGCTTAAAGAAGTCCCTGTCAGATTTCATCTGCTGGTTTTAATGTAATGTCTTCCGTGCTTGTCATGAAACAACTGGGCTATATGTGTTTTATGTGTGTGTGTGTGTTTTCAAGAAAGAGTCATGCCTCTGATACTATCCATACTGCCGCTTGGGATAACTAGAGATAGTTGTACGTTGAGGCAGAGTGCAGTTGTTGCCTCAGGCAGCAGATGCTGGGGGGGTGGCCTCAAAGAGTTGGAGAGAACAGCTGTGTGCCACTTGGCTTTTTCTTTGTGGTCTCTGTGAATGCACCAAATTGGGTTTTAGTGCACCTGCGCAGAGACTCTCGGAAAGTTCTAGAACTTTTACACATGTTCTCTAGGACCTCCCTCCCATTGTGCGTAGTCCCGTTGGCTTTTGTGCATGTTGTTTTTTGCCTCTGACAGTGCAATTTCTTAGGCTGGGCCTGGGCTGATCTGTTATTGAACGTCTTCACACAATACATAATTCAGTTCCTTAGATTCAAGCTACCTGTTCTTTGCTACCTGTTCTTTTTATGGTGCTGTTACTAACCCATGGCACAACAGTGCTTTTCAGCATTTACGTATGTATTTATTTTGTTTTGCTCAGATGCCATCTCCCCTGCCCCATAGCTTTTAACAGAATAAAAAAGCTATGCAGCCACTTCCTGATGTAGGTCATTCTTAGCATTGCTCCCCTGTCTCTCTCATGAGAATGGGCATCACAGGACTTTAATGAAGATTTATCTTACATGCTGCTTACCTCTACTATCCGAATTGCATTTTCAGCTGATTATGCAAGCAAAAGCTTCCAACAACAATTTGTAACTGAAACGTAGGTCTTCCCTTACCAGAGGAAATGGTAGTAGCTATCATTCTGGGTGGTCTTAAAAAGGATTAGAAAAATGTAGAGAGACTAGAAGTTTATCAGTGTTTCTGTGGTCATGTTAGTTTAAAAATTCTCCAGTTATAGGCTCTACCTTTAAGTTTCAGATACTTGGGATAAATTTTAGGTTGGGTGATAGGAACATCTGGCTCACTGCTGTTTGAAATGGAAAGCTGAGACAAAATAAATCTTGGTTTGATCCAGTGAGCTGTTTATATCTCTGGAAGTTATATCTGATTGCAGCCTTTGTTCCTGGAAAGCTATCAGGAGGATGTTGATTATGAATTATACTGACTGTTCATTTTGAAGTCTAACGTAACTCACAGGAGCATAGCTGTGTTTCACTGCATCAAGCAGTAACATCCTTGAATGCAATGTATAGATATGTCACTAGTTTGCAGTGAGAGTGGCTTCTGGGAGTTAGGGTAATTTGGTTATCATGTTGATTAAATACAGTGGTGCCCTGCATAGCGACGTCAATCCGTTCCAGGATTAACGTTGCTATCCGGATTCGTAGCTGATCAGCTGTTTGTAAAACATCGCAATGTGAAGATTGGTAAGCGAAACGCTTACCGATCACCGCAATGCAATGTTTTCCCTATCTAAAACATCGCAAAAAACGTGTCGCTATGCGGATTCGTTGTTAAACGGTGCGCTCGTTAAGCGAGGCACCACTGTAGTGTGGTTGTTGTGTTTAACATCTTGCCACCACAGGTCTTTCCCAACTCACTGCCCTCCCACATCATGTCCAAAGGAGAATTAAAACTCTACTGTCTGATTGTCCAAATCCCTGTGTTTGTGAACCTTTAGATCAAGGGTCCCCAACCTCTGGTCCGTGGCCCAGTACTGGTCTGCGGGCTTCCTGGAACTGGGCCGCGGAAACGGATACCCGCCCCTCCATGCACGGTGGGTGTGTTGCACCTGTGGACATGCCCCTCCATAAGCGCAACATGCCCGCCTGCGAGTGCAGGGGTGTCCCTGCCCCCCTGCTCATGGAGCCTGCACCCCCCAACCAGTCTGCGGTCACAAAAAGGTTGGGGACTGCTGCTTTAGATAATAGGTAGCACTGGGGAATAAATTCACTGAGGACCAACCTGTGTTGTTACCGTGCTCTCTAAAGCAAGAGCTGGGATCAGGTGACTCTCCAGCTGCTTTTGGAAGGCAACCCCCACTAGCTCTAGCTAGGCTAACCAATGGTGTGTGGGATGACAGCCCAAGACATTTGGAGGGCCACATCTTTCCCATGTGTGACACAGAGGAAACCTCACTCATAAATGATATGAGCAACAGTAAACAATCCCTGACCATCTCCTAGGTTAGTTTTTCACTACTGGGATCTGTTTCACCTTAGAATTATTCTGTCTTCTGCTAACTAGTGTGATACTGTCCTGAGATGCTCAAATGGATTTTAATTTATGAACTTCTATTTAAAGATAGTTTTTGCTAGTGACAAGGTTTGTTATATTTTATTGTATTTTTATTGTATTATTTTATTGTATATTGTGAACTGCCCAGGGAGTGATAGCACTAATGGTGCAGAATTAAAGTGGAAACAACAACAACAGGAATATTTCAAAGAGATTCTTTGTCACCACTATTGTTTAACGTCTCACTAATCCCCATGTCGATAATTTTAAATAAAACTGGATTGGGCTACAATATTTCACAACAAGCAGGAAAAATCAAGCATCTCTTATACATGGATGACCTAAAACTAAATGCAACAAGTTCCACGGAGATAGAATCACTGCTAAACACAGTGTGAATATTTAGGGAAGATATGCAAATGAAATTTGGAATTGACAAATGTGCAGCTCTTGTCTATACATTGTAGCAAGATCCAAAAACTAAATGGAGTAGAGTTTTTAAAATGACAACATTATAAAATCACTATCAAGTGAGGAAAATTATAAATACCTTGGAATACTAGAAGCAGATAACACCTGGCACACAAAAGTTAAAGATCTGTCATAAAGGGAATACAATAAAAGGCTGCAGAAAATCTTAAAATCAAAATTAAATGGAGGAAATACAATCAAAGCCATAAACACATGGGCAGTTCCAGTTATTAGATACCTAGTTGTAATAATAGATTGGACTCAAAATGAATTAGAAGAATTGGATCGAAAAAACAGAAACTAATGGAATGCATCATGCACTACATCCAAAAGGTGATGTAGACAGATTATATTAACCACAAAAAATGGACGCCATGGAATACTGCAAACACAGCAAGGTAGTAGAGGAGGAAAAAAAGAAGCCTAAATTATAATATCAATTTAAGTAGAGAAAAATTACTTAAGGTGGTGAAAATGGAGAATTTTTTTGAAAAGTGCAAGGAAGAAGGATTAAAGATGTGAAGCTTTCGCAGATGACGTGGTCTTTATTTTAGAAGACACATTAAAATCAGCCCCAATTTTACTTCAGCAATTTGAAGAATTTGGCAAAGTAGCTTGAGAATCAATAGAGAGAAGACAAAATTTTTAACTAAAAATTTAACCCCAAAACAAAAAAACCAGCTCGTCTTAAATACAAACATTCAAACAGCAAAGAAAGTAAAGTATTTGGGAATTTACTTGACAGCTAAATGTTCTTAATTGAAAGAAGATAACTATGTGAAATTGCTTTTCCAGATTAAGCAAGACTTGGAAAGGTGGGAGAAACTACTACTGTACTCTGTTTTCTAGGAAAAATCACAATGGTTAAAATGATTATCCTACCAAAGCTACTCTTTCTCTTCCAGAATTTTAAGTTAGAGCAAAAGTTTTTTGAAGAATTAAACAGCCTAGTTTCAAAGTTCATATGGCAGAAGAAGAAACCAATAATTAAATGCAAATTACTACAAGACACCAAAGAAAGGTGAGGATTTGGCTTGCCAAATTGGAATTTATATTATCAGGCAAGCACATTAACGTGGATTAGGGAATGGATAAAGCTAAAAAATAAGAGAGTACCATACTTAGAGGGACACGATCTGCAAGTAGAATTGCATGTGTTTTTATGGTACAGAATAACTAAAATTCATTAATATTTTGAAACAAATATAATAAGAAATTCTCTTTTAAGGATTTGGGAAAAAGTTAAATCTAAAATATATGTGAAAATAACTAGATGGGTCTCACCAATGGAAGTGTTTACATACCCAAATTTGCTAAACTTTTAAAATATATATATTTATAATGAGCTTTTGAATTTTGAGGGACTTTTGAAGACAAAAATGCAATTAGAGAACCAAGGACTAATCTTTTCACGGTGGCCTCAAATGCAAATACAATGGTGCCTCGCAAGACGATTGCCTCGTGGGACGATTAATCCCCAAGATGATGGGTTTTTGTGATTGGTGTTGCACTTCGCAAGACGGTTTTTCCTATGGATGATTTTTGCAAGATGATGTTTGGGTCTATGCTTTGCAAGACTTTTTTTTTTACCGATGCTTTGCAAGATGTTTTTTTTTCTCCATTGGAACGTATTAAATAGATTTCAATGCATTCCAATGGGAAACTGCGTTTTGCAAGATGGGTTTTTTTTTAGACCGATGCTTCACAAGACGGTTCCCCCCCCCCAATTGTAACACATTAAATAGATTTCAGTGCATTCCAATGGGGAACCGCATTTC